TAGTTCCTTAGAGTCAGAGCAGAGCTTGAATAGGCAGACTGCACGCAAATCATTTTGGCCGTGCCTTATGTGTTCTGTATGTTCAAAGAATGTTTAATGTGTATCAGTACAGAATGTATGCCTAACGTAATGTTTATTTTTAGATGGTATATGTAGGAGTATCTAGAACTATGGGTCGATTTTTAATGCAAATATAAAATGCAGCGTTACACTTACCTAACAGGAATGTTGTTGCAAGGTCTGGCATCAGGAGTGGTTTAACTCTGCTGCAATACACCACATAAACCTTACAATATAAGTTCAGATGGAGGCAACAGCAGTTGTGTACAATTCAAATACGTTGTACTTTTATTTAGGTTCAGGGACCGTTCAATTGTTTCATTAACAATTAATAAATACATTTTAATAACATGATTGTAGTAGCGAAGCATGTTTGGGTTCATGGGTTTTATCATCTTGGTCGGTATTTATATTTTCAAAAATAATATCTGCACCATTTGCTTTACAAAGTCTGCTTTCTTAAGTTTAAGGGAGGAAAGAGGAGGGTCTTTAAGTTACATTTTCAGCCAGAGGAGTCGCGAGAAGGGGGTGGGGGAACGACCGCACCGTATGACACCATTTAGGGGGCTGACACCAAGGCAAAAAATTGCAAAATTTACAGAAGAAAAAGCTTTTTGCCAGTTCAATTAATTTATTAATTAAAGGTAGGCCTAAATTAAATAGTCATTTAAGTGCAAATTGAAGATCCCGAAAAAGGGCAGTGGGGCGACACTTTGAGGTAAACTTGCTAACTAGAGAAAAACAATGCAACATCTAGAGGTATTAATAACCTATTATAGAAAAAATTCTTTCAAATTAAAGCTATCAAATGGTGTGGGTGAAACCAACTGCATAATGGGCACAGTGAGAAACAATTTTTGTTAAAAATGTTCGAAAACTGATAAATCACAGGTTTGGGGCTGGTACCACATCTAATAGCGTATTATGAAAACGGTGCTTTTTTCACTTCAATTAATAGGTGCTTATATGTCGTATGTTGTTTTTTAATGGAATAAGTTGAATTGGTAATAATTTGATTAAAAATTTAGTATACGCATAAAAGATAAATTAGATTCAAACGTTGGAAAAGTTTTGTGGGCATGCCTATTTCCTACCTTAGGGGTAGTTCGCACATTGAAGTCCGCCTTAAAATGACACCCCATCCCCGCCTTCATCCTTTTTTTATTTTCACCAGACTTAATTAGACCCTAAACCAATTTTCATTCACAATAAAACTAAATTACCATGGTACGGCTAATCGAAAAGCACGGAAAACGTAATATGGTTTGTAAACAATTTAATTAAAAACGATTCAAAATAAAACAGAAATGTGCTTTAACACTCCGTTATCTTGCGAAGAATAATTAGGTGGGGACAATGGTACTATTTTTACAATAGTTCTAGGATAGACGTGTGCTGAAAAAAAAATGATTTTGCGGAGACAGCTGAATAAAGGATTTGTATTGTATACCTTTTGTTAATGTTATAGTTAGTTATTGTCTACTGTTAACCTCTATTTAGACAGAAGGGCAGTATCGATACGTGCAACGACAATGGCCAGGGGCTTTACAAATTTTATGTCGCAGGTTGTTTTTTTTTTTTTTGTTTTTTAGTTAAATTACACGTCAGTGCTTTTAAAAATGAGAAATAATGATTCACGAAGTAAAGTTCATCTTGAGGCCAAAGGTGAATGACCTAAATAAGTATTGATCTAAACACGGTCAGTATTTGGCCAACGGCCGGATATAAACATCAAGTTTATTTTGTTGTCTTCGTCTCGCAGCGAAAATCTAGGTCACCACAACAGGATCTCGTATTTGGAATGTCGTCTTTTTCTTCAGCAATGATGTAATTACTTGTCTAAAAATATCTTGTTTACGTAGTCACTTCAAAATGAATACATTGTAACTTATCGAAAAACAGATCAATTAACAAAAGAGGAACCGAATTATTGTAAAAGATTATGACGCGTATTCTCTTTTCTATCCGGTGCGTCGAACGATTGACGTAAACAAACAGCAGGTTGTCGTAAGTTGTGTTTTCAGTCATACCTGATTGGCTGCAGCACACTACAGAATACTGAGTGTGCAGTTTCCTGACCCAGATAAGCTACAGTCTAGCAAGTTGTTTGAATGAGTTCTGAAAACATTCCATTGGTTTATTTTTATACATATTTAAGCTTCGAATTTTTTTTGTTTCCCTTACTTCTCTCATATCTAAGGGATTGACTTATTTTAGACATTTTATTTTACTTTATATTGCAGTTGAATCTGCATTGGGGTTTATTAAGTAGATCTAAATCTAAAAGTAAAAGGTGCAAAACGCACACAATCGGGGAGCGACAAAACTACCATGTATGCTAACAGCAAGAACATGTGCATGCTATATATTACACTGGCATTGCATAGATTAGAAGTTAGCATGGTGCTTCCATTTTTTAAATCGATCAGCGTAGTGTAGATTGTTATCTTCTTTTGATTTTCAACAAAGCTATTACTACATTATTCATCAAAGTAGCCTAACCGAGGCTTTGCCAATCAATCAATAACCAGCTTAAACTAAGTACTATCGATTTGCAACTCAGCAATCAATAACGAGCTCGGTTGCTATTAATTATTTTTTTTTATCTTGAGTTCTGACCTTTCATCTCTGTATAAATGTTATATGAACTATATCCACGACCTCTTAAATAGGTCAGCCAGGAAGAGATGCCCTCGTGAGAGAAGCTAACAATGTCAACAAGTGCTAGCTGCCAAATAAATAATCCCCTGCTGTCGGGTTGAAATAGGATGTCATATGACCAGCAAAAAACTGCTCATATGCACGTGATATTTATTGAAAATGTAGGGCCTAGTAGTCACTGAATATGCACGCATTGCTTTGATGAGAGGCGGTGCCTTAAGTTGCTATACTACGTTTTGACTTAGATGTTCTCTACATTAGTTTGCTACGCAGTTATAGTTTACAGGGAGACCTTCTAGAAAAGACCCAATTGTGTTGGGCCTAAACCAGTATTCAATACACACTTAAAAAAAAACATTTGGAGCTATGCCAAATCAGCACACAGCGCTGTTAATGCGGCTAACGAATTCACGCTGAGTCAATTCGTTTATTTTTTTAAGTTATCTTAAGATGAAAAGTGGGCTGCTCGACTAGTGGCCCAATGCTATTGTTTATAAGTTGGGCCTACAACATTAGTGTTGACAACATTACTGTAGTTAGTACAACATTCGTGTTGTTAGTACAATATTAGTGTAGTTAGTACTGGTACAATATTAGTGTTGTTAGTACAACATTAGAGTAGTTAGTACATTAGTGTTGTTAGTTACTTAGTACATTATTAGTGTAGTTAGTGCTAGTACAACATTAGTGTTGTTAGTACAACATTAGTATAGTTAGTATAATATTGTAGTTAGTACAACATCAGCGTAGTAAGTACAACATTAATGTCGTAGCACTATCACCCTTTTTATCAACTATAAATGTAATGCCCGCATTAATTGAATCAATAATTTATGCCCAAATAACGTCTTCATTACGTGTTGGTGTGGCAGGAGTTATCTGTCAGCTGTTACAGTACGTTGGTGTTAGGATTTTGTTTAAAATCGTTGTTTAATATTGGTTATGGAAGTTAAAATGGTGTAGGCTTGGCACATTTTTATTTAGAGAAAGCATTTTTAAAACGGTCAAAATTGTGTGACGTAGTTATAGGCTGTAGCGGGTTTTTTTAAAATAATAATGTAGGCCTGTATAGCTGACGGGTCATAATTATTCGCAATGAGGAGTGTCCTACTTAGATATCACTTAAATTCTTCACTAAGGTTGGAAGTTCCAGATAGCTAGTTTAAATATTTTAAAAAAGGCGCTCCTAGATATACATTTCACTTTTTACGACAACAAAATTACGCTTGCAGTGGCTCTAAATAACTCACAAGCTACTGCCAATACTGCCATAGAGTAGAGTTACAGTTACAACTGAGCAGTCAGGTTTTTTTTTTATCTTGCCAAAGGTATGTCGTGGGCGTTCACATAAGCATTAGAAATAAACACACCCTAGATGTGGCACATTACGTGACTCAAGTGTTTATATCGAGGATTTAGTAGTTTACCACAATTGTAGATTTTTTAAACAGTTTATCCATCTGTGAGGAATGTAATGTTTTTTATATAGATTTTTATACAGGGACGGGCTTGCCTATTTTGTGTGGTGTGGTATGAGTATGAAAGTGTTTTGTAATTCATCCAATCATTCCTTGATTACAACCCATTATACATACTTTTGCATGGTGAACCACTTTGCATATGCAGTATGCTTAAAATAAAATATTGAGGATTTCAAAGAGGGTTTAGTGATCAATTAATGCCCAGTCATCCTCCTATTTCAACGACAGTGTTGAAATAGAACATGCATAAAACTAAAGCAGTGCATTAATTGATTAATTTTAGTTGGACAAGTTAAAACTATAAGCAATAAAAAATACCTGCACTAAATTGGCTTTGCTAGTTAGCTAAGGTATCACAAACTGAGAGACAGAGAGCTACATTTCTTTTAATATTTTCATCAAGTAGTTCAGACTATGCAAGATTATTAAAAAGGGCTCACAGATCCTAAAAGATAAGTATGAAATTTCAATAGATTATCGATCACACTCCTAGTCCTACATTGAAATATTATTTTATTAAACTATATTCAGATCTACATCTTTTCTAACAGAGCCCTGCCCCTCCCAGCCTCAACACTAGACAGTGGGTAACATGTTTCATTGCAAATTAGTCATCTTGGCATCTATTTCACAAGCATGAGTGTGCATGAAATCAGGATGTAATGGGACTTGTGACATCCTGTACATCATTAACATCAACAAGTGATATTTGGAAAAGACACTATTACAAATTTTCTCTTAGCAAAACGATTCTGTACACTATCAATTACTATATAAGAAGAACAAAAATACAGAGTACTCTTTTTTAAATAATTTATTAATTTTTACAGTTCCATATACAGATTGAAAATTTTTAGTTTTAAGACATTAAAGAAACATTTAAAGTAGGTTATATTGTTAATGATATGTACTGGTCTAAAGGATTGTCACATTGCTGACATGCTTGTGAGACTTCTTATGAGAAAGTTGTATTCATAAGTTATCTCATGTTTATCCAAACTATATCTTCTTTTCTTCAGAGTATGAAGAATTTAACTTAAACCAGACATTTTTTTTTAAAAATACGAACAAGATAGATGTCAGCTTATAAAGAATAATACAGTATTAATGGACATATATATTGCACAGTCAACTGTTTAGTTTTAACTGATGACCATAGTGCTAAAAATATCAATGTCACATTTGCATTTAGATCTACATTTAGCCATGATGTTATATTCCTAAATCTTAACATGTATGATTAAAGACATTTTCCCAGGAGAATATTTTACAAACAAAATAAAAAATTCTATAAAAATAACTCCTTGTGTGACTTCACTACTACCAGCACTAGGGTCTCCAATTAAACAGTCTAATTCAAATACATGGCTTAACATTCATGAGGATCCTTAACCTACAACTGTAAACTTATGAAAGACTACTAACATGACGAGAAATGTGTACAGCAGATGATAAGTAATATACCATTTTATAAATAGAACAGCAATACATTCTTTGGTAAACTTACATCTGCATAATTTATGTGGAGTATAAACAAATTGGTCTCTAGACAAAGCTATAAAAACATAGTTCACTTATATAAACTAAACTGTTTAATGAGTGGTCATGTTATTTTTCAAATGAGAATTAACTAAATTTTAAACTTGGATTCTGTATACAAAAGAAACCGGCACTGGATTCACCGGCATAACATGTACAGAAAGTATAACAACATGAAATTACAGCACTTTTCAAGCAATTTACTAATTCCAGAAATGTCTGAACTTGAAAACTCAAGAAATTGACAGCATTAAGTAAACAAAAATTTGACAGCAAAATGAATACAGCTTCTTTGTTTTTTATCCACTCAAGCAAAAACACCTATGTAAATTTAATGCTTAGAATTTACAAAAAAGAAGAATACTGAGATGAATTACAACACCAATTCACTTTTTATGATAGCGACTGACAAAATAAAGTAAAATATTTTAAACGATTAGATAACATTTAGCTTAGAGATAAGAGGTAGAGACAGTATATCGTGGCCAACATGGACTAAACAAGTTAATTATGAAAACATTTGTAATTTTAAGTCAAATAAATTATTATTATAGTTTAACAGGTACATTGAAGCAGTGCGATGTATTACAATGTATCCTGGCAGGCCAGTTATGTTATAAAGATTTATTCCTAAAATACAAATTTTGTTATCATATCTGTTTTCAGTCATATTTCAATGTATTCTACTTATAGTTTAGATTCAAATGCAAATGAGGTATTCATTTCTTGTAATTTCCTTAAATATAGTATGCCAGAAATGTATTCACTTGCAAAATAGTAAATTGTTATAGTTTTTAAATGGCCTCCAAATCACAGCTCTATTTAAATATGCCTTCTAGCATTAATAAATCTCCACATTTGAAACAAACATTAGACTTTCTTACATAATTGTAATGAAAATTAAAAACATTTTTTAAACTGTTAATACAAATTTAAAATTGCAGCCATAAAGGTTAAGTAAAGATAAAACAAACTAGATTTGCTAAGAAATTATAAAATTGTTGAGTTTCATCTATTAGGGTTCATAAATTGATTTATGTATTTAGTTGGGCTAACTGTTTCAAAATAGTGAAAAACTCTTTTTAGTAAAACTGGTGTTGGTATACATGATGGAATTAATGTAATATATACAAATAATAAAATCACAGAAAAAAAATTTAAATAATGTGCACAACTGTTTCAGTAACTCTGCATATGTACTTTGCAGCATAAAAAATACCTTAAAGTTAACTAATATTAATGATTACTGTAACTATCTATTAATTTCACAAATCATAAAATGTTATGCAGCTAAATTGTACGTGCAGTTCACATTTAACCTAATGCAAAAGATGGGATCAACAGGAAAATTTATTTTTATATAAAGAAAATTAAAATGATATAACATTGGTGTTGGTATTCATTCTTAGAATATCACCATGAATCTATCATTCACAGCATTTAAACAAATGATAGATTAATAATTACTTAAGCTTTTTTTTTAGAGTAACCTGCAGCCATTACTTAACTTATCATTGATCACTAGAATAACACTAAATTTATTGATGTTTCCCAACAAGCAATAGCATTATATAACACTCTACAACATAAAATAAGTAATTTACTATCTGGTTAATGTAACTAGCAATATCTGATCACATACCCTATCTAGTGACATCACTGGCAATCCAGAAAAAGGAATGCTATAACTAGCATGCTCTATGTTGTTCCCTGGACAGTATTATCTGTCATTTTATGACCATGAAGGGTTTTTGTAATAATAGTATCCAGACTTAAGAGAACTGTGTCCACCTATCCCATGAAATATTGATGTTTTAAAATGAAAACATCTTTTCAAGCAAATCAGTAAGGATATGGCTTAAGAGTAGAAATGTGATATAATTTTGTGTATGTCTAAATTGTAGCAGTCACCATAACAAATGATTATAAAATTATGATTTTTGTGCAAGAAATGCTCCCAGTGTGATTGCACCAAGTCCTGCCACAGACCATTTAAGTAATGTTTTAAAAGATGGCCAATCTCTCGGACTTTCAGTTCGTGAATGAAACTCAAGCAGACCTTGCTGTAGAAGATAAAAAATAATATATTTATACTTGTGAGTTAGTAAAAAAAAAAACAGCTAAAGAAACAAAGCAAAAAAAAGGAGAGAATCAATTTCTTAATTTCCCTACCTTGAAAATGGATAATCAGTATATTTTAAAGTCATGGGGAGAGGGGGGATAAAAGAGGATAGAGATAACATATAGCTGCAGCATACATGACAATTATCCTAAACAGAATATGTATTCAAATGAAAGCGCAACTCATTATTTGGAATTAATCAATATTCTGTTGTTCAAATGTATCAGTTAAAACAAGTTAATATACTGATTTATATTTTAATATTACTGTATTATCATGAATTGAAGTGAAGGTTTAATCATTCTGTATTATCAAAGTGCAGGGAATTAATTATAAAAGCAAACAAAGTTAGCAACATTGATTATGCCTACATCTTGTTTACATTATTTTCTGAGTAAGACAAGTACAAGTCTACGGCTAACTGTACTTCTAACATCTGCCATTACATTGGAAGGGAGGGGAAAAAGCTAGAGGCAATAATAACCAAAGTGCATCTCTGCACATGTGGGTTTAACAATGTAAAAGGTCAGTAAACAAGGTCAAGGCCTGCTATATTTATTAAATTTCTTGCAACCTGTTAGATATCCAGGTACTGGAAATTGCTTTATGTTTTTTACTGTAAGGAATCCAGTATTCACTAGTATAAATTAATGAAGACATTTTAATGAACAATCCACAATCCCTGTCACATCACAAAGATGTATGATTTAATATAAAGCAACTTTGAACTATTTACTCTTGGACTTAATTAAGCATGAGAAGAGACTACTCTATTAGTGATTGCTTTTATATTGCTGTATATTTAGTGTGTTGTTAAAAAAGTAAATACCAGCTTGTTGTTAAAGAACTTCTTTAGTATTTTAGTGAGTAATCCTTGAACCTCTTATTTAAAACTGCATTAGTTTCTTAATAGACTTGTTGTAGCAACCCTTAGCAACATTTTATTAATTTAGGTGCTATTAGTTTAAATTAAATAAGTAAATACAATCAAATACTAATAGCTAATAATAAGAATTTAGGTATAACTCCATCATCCATGTTTCATCAATTACAATCATAATGGTTTAAAAGCATACTATAATTGATATAAACATACATTTTTAAAATGCACAAAAAGTTATAAAATGTATTGCACATAATAACATGGCAATTTTTTAAGGGTACAATCAGCCTATCATATTATTAGACCTTTTATTATGGCTACAGAAATGAATCCAAACCCTAAAACTGGCATGGCTTAAAAATACAACTACAACACTCACAAAAAATGTAGTCAATCATTTAGTAAGCTTTACAGCTAGTTATCTATATAGTGTACTTGGTAATGTCAGTTTGCTTGTTTCAGTGAGTCATTCCTTAACTCATCAGTGTATGAGTGTATAGTGTAGACACTTAACCTCATTTAGGCCTATTTCTTATGTAGTTATGTAGGCCCACAATTTTATTTTTAAAAAGCCAAAAGCTAATTGCAAAGAATACAGAAATCAAACCACATAGGCCTACACTTGGTTTTAGATTGTTTATGCATATTTTCCAAACCTTTTAAAATATGCAAAATATTGAGTTGCCTAGTAGATCCTAGATCTAGGTCTGTCAATTGGCACTGTTTTTTTTTTGGGGGGGGGGGGTTAAAGTTAGGCCAAGGTGACTTTTTAGTTTCATTTTTTCCCCCTATCTACTATTTTACTAACTAAAGTATCTAGGTAGATCTAGATATAGATCTAATCTAGATCTAGTAATTAAATCCGAAATGCTATCTAGAGTCTACATTACATTCTATCACTGGCCTAGATTCTTCTTATCATGTGATTTAAATTTGATATTATGATGTAGGCCTATGGAAACTATTCTTACCCATTTATTATTAGACGTCATCCATTCTTGTAAGTTAGTGTCGATATATGAAGTAACCCATTCAACAACATTATCCACCAAATGGCTTTTATTATGTACGAAACAATATACCGCAAAGCGTCCAGCGAAGCCGAAAAGCGCCACAAACCTCCCCCAGTTAACACCATCAGAGAAGGTTTCATCAACTATTGTTTTAAAAGTATCATAAGCGTTGTTATCAGTAATATTAAGTTGTTCAATCATATCATTGAATCTATTTCTAAATCGCTCCTCAAATTCATCGCCAAGACTCCGCATTGCCGCTTGGACAGCATTGGGAGTAACACTACTTTGTCGGCCATCATTCTCCCACTGAAAGCCTTCCCTCGCTACACGGTGTTTGATATAATCCACTACTATTGAACGAGTATTATAAGATTCCATGTTTTCAGAAAATTCACTTGAACTTAACACATCTTTTTTTAAAACCATCTCAAAATTTAAATGAGATTCATTTATATTACACAAAAAAAAAAACAGCTTAATTCAGAAGTAAACACTGTTCATGTTGTCGGTATCCTGTTCAGTGGTTCACTCTATCTAAAACGCGCTGAAGACTGCTTGGTATCGATACTAGTGGAAAAATGAAGGAAAAAACCCTAGGCCTACAGCCAGCAGTTTTAGTCAAGTCGGATGTTAGGCCTACACTGGCTAAAACGAACGAGAGGGTTACATTTAAACGAAAGACCACCGAACCCAATAGCGAATTTAAAAAAAACGCACTCTATACTCAGTAATACTAGAATCTATAATTAAAATAAATGGTTTCCATAGTAGTAAGAATGGAAATGTGTGAGGGTTAAAAAAAATAATTTCGTCTAGACCTCTGTGTAGCTGAAGAATTATGAACAAGTGTACGCCTATCCAGATAGGTCTAGCTAGATAATTTTAGGCTTGTCCTATCATACGAAATATTAAATTTACTTATGTTGTCACAGAGACTACAGATCTTTGTATGGCCATGCATAAATATAGATATAGGCCTATTTGTTCATACGTTTTTGAATTGTAGTACTCGTAGGGGGGGGGGGGGGGTCCGTAATTTTGTTACGGTGTGGGGTGAGGTTAAGAGGGTGCGACGTCACACTTTTGCATAATAAAACAATGTTAGAACGAATTTTAGACGTTATTTCGCGTTTTAGAAAACTGTTTTAATAAATTATAATAGGAATTGATTAAAATACTTATTTTGACAGAGTTCAGACAAGATTTTAGAAAAATATCGATGTTTAAAAAAAAAATTCACCTGCAATTTTGAGGGGGTTGTAGGCTGAGGTGTGACGTCATTTTAGGGGGAGGGGGTCTGGCTTTTGTGACGGGGGGGGGGGGGGGGGAAGGTAAAAATCGTCAAAAAAGCGTGACGTCATTTATAGATGATCCCTTATGCACACCAAAACGGTCTTTTTTTTTGTTTTTTAGATTCGGCTATTATTTAATTTAAATTTTACGAGCCGGCCCGCGGCATAACATACGCCGCTATTTAGTTGTTTCTAATTTTCAATAATTCATAATTTGTGAATTCGACAGTACCAACGCTGACACTGAAAATATTTCTTTAAAACACTATAAGTAGCTCGTTAAGGACCATAACCCCCCCCCCCCCTTCCTTCCCTCCCCCCCCCCTCCTCCCCCCCTACGTTTAAAATCGTTGGCTCTGCTTGTTAACATTTAGAGTGAACACAGCTCACTAAAACCATGTAGGGGTGGGGAGGTAGGGAGAGCGTTTGCAGCTTGTTTTCTAACGGCTCGAAGAAGAGAATTATATATATAGATTATTAATTTTTAAATAAACATTTTAAATTACATAAGAAACTAAATAAGTAAGAAAGAATGGATTTATTTATTTTTAAATTTAAATAATACATCTACACAACAGCTGCACAGTTAAGGCTTTACTTTTCATATTGTTTATCATATGATCACCAGGATTACTTCACTTCTAAAAAGTGATAACCCCCCCCTCCACTTTCTCACAATCACAAAAAGCAAGACCCTCTACCCCTAAAATGACGTCACAACTCAGCCTACACCCCCCCCCCTCAAAGCTGCAGTTTAATTATTTTTTTAACATCTGAGTTCTTTAAAGATATTGACTGAGAATATTATTATTAAACAATTTCTATTATAAAAACAGCTTTTTAAAATGAAAATAAGGCCTAAAATTCAGTTTCTAACATTACTTTTTTTTAATGCAAAAGTTTGAACCCCCCCCCCCCCCCCCCCCCCATGCAATGTGACATCATTTATGGATAGTAATACTGTTGAAACCATTTAAAGTAACCAAAAATTAAGTTGGAATTTTCATAAAGATGAATAAATTTTTTACTTTCAGTACTCCATTGACATTACAAAGGCATTCGTATGTGAGATATGATCTCATAGCATAAGCATTAGCTTTGCTTGATTAGCTAAATAAACTTATTTTTGCAAAACCACATTTGCCAGAAACAGATGCTTTTGATTACTACTATCAAATGTTTCTAATGTTCAAACAAACACAATACATGCAAAGATAAGCAGCTTTCTTTTTATTTTACATGAACCAGTCATACTCTCAACATGTAACATGTTTTATATACATAAAAATAAATGCACAATTTATTGATACTATAAATAAAACAAAGTCTAAAAATCAGCCTGTTGCTTTTGAGGTTTTTTCTTCTGTCTTTTTTACTGAATGTGCTTTCTTAGCTTTACTACCATCCTTTCCCATTGTTCTGGATCTTTTTGGCTTTGAAGCAGCAGCTTTTAATTCCTTAACAGCAGCTGAGTTCTTGGAACTTCTTTCCCGGGGAGTGATAGTTTTCCCTGCCCACATAACATCGGTAGCACCAGGAGCTTGATAACTTGTGAGAAATATCACAAAGTAATGACATTTGAGAACTACCAAACCAATATCATTATTTTTTATAATCATAATGAATTGTATCAGGTGTATTTTAGTTATAGAAATTTCAAAACATAGATACATTTTTTTACAGTAGCTTCCCTTTAAAAGTTAATGGGGCAATGAAAGTAAAATTTGCCGTTTTCTGTGGTAAATTCTACGCTCAGATGCAATTACGTTCCCTAACATAAGTTAGGTACTCATCAAAGTTGAGGGGACAAAGGGAAGTCCCATAGATTCAAGAATCAGAACTCAAGACATTTGGGTTAGCAGGTGTGGTCTCTACAGTCTGATCTTGCAATTACTTATCATTTAAAATATTTTAAACATTTTTTTATGTGAAACAAACTGTATCTGAATTTGTAATCCACATTTCACTATTTTACACTTATTTTCTTAATGAATGTTTGTTATAAGCCAAATTTCATGGTAATATTACTAATTTAATTGTACTTTGTAACTGGATAATGTATAATGATGAAAGAAGAAAGGGACAAAGAGGAAAAGAAAATGAAAAAAAAAATGAAAAAATAACGAATGTAGGGAGAGAGAGTGAGCTAGTTAAGCAGTTTAATTCTAAAAAAAAAGCTAAAAACCTTGAAGTTCTAAAATTAAATTCACTTAAATATGTTTACCTTGGATTATTAGTATCTAAAGGATCTTTTGACAAAAGTATGGATATTGCAGGTATATTTGTGTTGACTTTCAAACTGCAATAAGAGAAAATATCCTGATTATTTAAAATTTCACAACACTGATAACAAAATCGTTTCAACATTTAAATTTAAGCTGCACATAATAACATACTTGTTCCCTGTGATGTAAGCAGAATATATATATATATATATATATATATATATATATATATATATATATATATATATATATATATATATATATATATATATATATATATATATATATATATATATATATATATATATATATATATATATATATATATATATATATATATAAAATTAATCAATAATTTAAAATGTTAAAAGTGACAGCAGTAGTTTACATTACAGCCTTTATTTTGAGGGTTTATGGCATAAAGGGTAAGGTACACCACTGATTGTTGAAGACAGAAAATCAAGCTTCAATCATGCAAAAAGTCGTATCAAAATAAAGACAGAAGAGAAGGAAATGTCCTCTTTTTTTTTTTTTTTTTTTAAATAATTTGAAATTGTAAGTTTATTTACAATTTTTAAAGATTTACATGAGGATATAAAAAAAATGTGTACGAATTGTGATTTACCAACAACATATGAGTGGTTCTTTAGCTATTTTTTAAGTGAAATTTTTTGGAATAATTAAAAATATTCTTAAAGGGGTGACCTGTCAAAAGAGCGCACGACAAAAGAGCGCCGACATAAGAGCGCAGACAAAAGAGCGCCGACATAAGAGCGCCGACAAAAGAGCGCAGACAAAAGAGCGCCGACATAAGAGCGCAGTCAATTAAAAAAACACACGTTGTACACTAAACGAATATGACATTGTTAACACTTGTTTTAATTAAACAATCGGCGAGAGAACAACGTCTTTATTTATATATTGTGGTTAATATGTTATGAATGCAGTTTGAAAATATTTCTAATCCAATTAACATGGAGAAGATCGAATCACAGAAAGTGAAGGTTATTATATTGGTCGAAGACTACAGATGTCTACAGGACAGAGCAAATGCTGATGGAACTTATTTTTATTTTGTTACATTTAAAATCTTTGTATGTGTTATTAGATTGAGTTTTGAATAATTGGACTTCACGTTGATTGTACCAGTTTTTTAGTTAAAGAAAATGAACAATTAGTTTTTTAATGAAACAATAAAGAGTTAACATCGAACGATGCCTTCTGATCTGAGTCAATTTTCTTGTTTTTATTTATTAAATATGGTTTTTCGATTTTTAGTTTGCGCTCTTATGTCGGCGCTCTTTTGTCGGGAAATTAGTGCGCTCTTATGTCGGCGCTCTTTTGTCTGCGCTCTTATGTCGGCGCTCTTTTGACGGGGTGCCTCTTAAAGGAACTGTATTAGTATAGTATTTTAATTAGTTGACAATATGAACAAATAAATGCAATTTTTAAAATGAATTAAGCATGGTTTCAGGCAGAATGATTTTCAGGCAAACGTCTTAAATGTTGTAAAAATATTTTAAAAATTAAATGTCAACAGCTTAAGGAAACAAATTATTTAATCTGTTTTATGATTGTTTTATTATAATATTAAGAAAACAGTTTTATGGTTTTACAGGCATAATTTAAATGGTATGGCAAAAAAAAAATAACTTTAACATATTTCAACTCCCCTTGCTTGCAAATTCACATGGATTATTAGTTGTAAAGTCAGGTGTTAAAATTCTGTATCTTACGTATCTAAGCCTTCCACTGTAGGTTTCCAAAAATCTTCCACTCTGAGAAATCCTATTTGTGTTATTTGATGTAACCCCTGCAAAATTAAAAATGTGGAATAAACTGCAATTTTGGATGAAATGTTATTTCAGATATTGACAAGTTATTAAAAGCATCAGAATCTGCCAGAAGTTGTATCTAAATAATTACATTATATATATGAATTGAAATGATGTTAAATCTTGAATTAAAGAAATTTTAAGAAAATGGTGTGGAATCTGCTATTGCTAAGAGTTCACGAAATACCAACTCTTTGAACACTAGATTACCTCTTTTGCTTGATAATAATATGTGAAAAAAATATTTTAAAGTACTCCAGATTTTAGGCATAAAACAAAATCATGGGCATAAATCAAAGACCCAACTACTGTACAAAAAAAATGTATTTGAAAATAAAAGAAGTTTATTATGAAAAACTAAAACATCCACAAATAAAAAAATTGATATACAAATTTAAATAATGATTAACAAGATAAAAGTAATTTTTTTGTACAAATATATAGTTATAGATATTATACATTTAAGGTAAAAATCAAATAACTTACAATGAAGGGGAGGTAATCCACTTCAAGATTTTTAGGTAAAAAGTCAACAACAGCTAATTTTAATTTTAATTGTTCAAATGTAAATTTTATTGAAGAAGTTTGTTGTTGTAGTCAATATATTTACTGACATCTTTGTCATGTAAAATACATTAACTCAGCAATCTCCAATAAAACTAGCAACATTACAGAACTGCATTACATTATCTGTAAAATAGCTTGTAAAATGAATCAGGAGAGTGACTTTTATAACCTAATTCTTATTATTCAAGTACCTTTATTTTTCTTTTCATAATTTCTGCACAGGAAATAGTTTTACTGATAGCATTACCAGTTCCATTCCAGGTTATATGGCGCACATTGTTGTCCTAAAAAATGAGAAAAATATTTTTATGTTCTTAAAAATGTTTAAAATAGATAAATATTTGGAAACAAAAACTATGCAACGAAAATGTGTATATGAATTATCAAAATTAGAAATAAATATTACTGAACTTAAAAAGCTATTACTGTAACAGAAAATATTTAATATAGGCAGGCCTACTCAGTCATAAGTTCAGCATATAAATATTTTCATTCATCTCTAAATTATAAAATATTTAAAATATAATAAACATAAAATTCCATGTGTTATGTAAGGATTTGATTAACAAACAGATGAATTAGATATTTAATGAAATAGAAACGTACAGCTATAGAGGACATGGCATAGCCCATTAGGTTACGAATTTTACTTCCATTTGTAACTTTCATCTCTATTGCACCATCCATAGATAAACTTGGAGGATCATAGACTGCATGGGATTCTCCTTTTAAATAATTTTCCATTTTACTGCATCACCTGAAAATGTAGCATCTAATATTGTTATCAATTTGGTACATCTGGACATTAAGACACAAGTCAACATATTGCTAGATTTATTATTTATTGAAAATAGAATAGACTAATTCTAGGCAGTAGCCCAACATCCTTCCCTCGGCTAGAACTTATAAGATATGCAATACTTTCTTTCAAGTGTTAATGTGTATGTTCGCTGAATAGTGTGGTGCTAGACCTGATTAAAATTTTGTCAGTTGGCTCATGATGAAAATATTATATTTGTATAACTGCAAGAAAGTGAACCTTAATTATGTTTTAATTATTTTTTTGTACAATTGATATTTTTTTAAAGATTTCTAAACACAGCAAAGCTTATACTATACAGATTTCATTGTCTTTTGAGAAAGGGAAGAAGATATTGGAATTAACTAACAAAAAGTAAGCTATTCATCTCCTATACTGCCTATACATGCTTGTGGTCAATTCTGATCATTAAAAATTTTTCTAATTAAGTTAAGATTTGAACACATCACTAAAAACTATTTGAAGGATCCCAGACATTTAACACATTGTTAATGTTTTTATAAGCTTTTACTTAGGTCACAAACATCTGTTTGTGGGTAGCTTTGTGGTCAAATCTTTTAACTCAGTTTTGACCAGCATCTGATTCTGCATCATCAGAATGTTTCAGATAAATTTCTTTCTGATGAAAACTCGTGACTATCTAATTCTCAACATAGTTACATATTAAATTAGTAATAATTTTTTTTTAAAGTTTATTATATATACACAGTAACAAAAGTGGAAATAAGATTATTAGCTTCATTGTACAATAAGCAGATGTGTGAGGTGAGTTATATTCACTGCCTTTTTCACACTTGAAAGCCAAACACAGAACTCAATTGATAAGTGTATAATGATTTACAACAGGGGTCTAATTCCCCATGGGCACTTAGCCTTCTACTGATGTGTAACTGAGACTGGTGGTCAAGCAGTTGCACTTCAGGCGGTTCATTTCCAATTGGGTTCACTTATGTAATACTTTTTAGAAATTGTTTCCTTTATTTAATTTATATTAGATTTAGACCCATTTGTTTTTTTTTTATTTCTTAAATAGATAGGCTAATGATTATTAATATCATAAGTATATGAGCCTAATAATTCTGAAAATTAGGCTAATGCACTAAATACTAAATAGCCGTAGATCTAAATAGTAATTTACTAAGTCAGAAGTCTAGTCAACAGTTTGGTTCTTCAAAGGTTAACTAACATTTCTTTTAGTTCTGTGGAGTGTAATAATTAATTTATTAGTTAGGGCCTAGTAAGAATGAATGGAGATAATTATCATTGAAATATAATTGTGAATATCAGGAAAGTGTTAAGTGTTAATTAAAATTATAATATAATTATTATAATTATTAATTAGTAGGCCTAGCTAGACAATAGGTTATAAGTTTTAAGTGACAAATTATTCAAATTATCTAGATTATAATATAAACAGAGTTTCTTCCAGGCATCTCCTCAGGGGGGGGGGGGGGGGGAAGGGAGAAGAAAGTCTCCCCCCCCCCCCCCGAACGAAATGGATAGTAAAACATGCACTTTAATGACTTTTACTTTTTACTAGATCTAGTGTCCGCCCCCCCCCCCCCCCCCCAGATAAAAGTCTGGAAGAAACACTGATTATAAACTTGATAGATTTTTACCGTGATAAAGTCATAAAAATAACGTTTAGTTAAGATAAAATTGGCGTGCTTATGATTATAGATATAAATCTAGATCCGTGTAATTATACTAGATATTGTGATAGTAGATGAATTAGATAGAATTAACAACAGCCAAGAAAATTTAAGACGATAGCTTAGCTTAGCTATCCGATTTATTCAGTTGTTAATTAGTTAACAGCAGTTTTTTTTCTGGTTGCCAGATTATACAAATGAAATATTGCCAAATTTATGACGACAAAAAATTCTGTTGACTGAGTGAAACCAAATGAAAGTGAAACTAAATAAAAGTTACTAGATCTAAGTTAATTTATCGCGTTTGAAGACTGACACGTTCATGACCAATAGTGGTATTACTGTGCTGCTAAGTGCTAACAGTAACATCTCAGGGTAAGTGCCCGAAATGTGACCATAAATAAAATTAACATTTATAATTTTAAAAATGTGCATCTTTGCCTTGATTGTGCTTTTAAAAATTTAGCCTATAATGACTAATAATGTCAGCAGTGATTTTTTTTTTTGGAGGAAGGGGGTAATGAACGAGTCTTAAATGCGAGTGGCAGTGTTTCTTTCAGGGATCTTTTCAGGAGCAGCGCCCCTCAATTTAATGAAAGGGGACAGCGTGGTTGCGCACAAGTGCATATGATTGTATCGGACCCGGGGCAGATAGTTAAGCGGCTCGTTAGCTCGGGGCCCGGGGCAGTAACCCATCTAGGAGAGAAAACTCCAAAATCAACACACACAAAAAAGCAAGTTTAAGTCGGAGTCAACGGGTATATGGCGCATTAGATTTGACCAGTGGCGTCGCTAGATCGGATGTCACCCGGTGCGGCACCTCATAGTGTCACCCCTTCCCCCTTTTTTTTCTCTGTAAATTTTGCAGTTGGTATCACCCCTCCCCCCAGGTAAAAGCTATAAAGTATTCACATTTAATACTAAGGATGTTTATATATAGTCGTTTGTTAATACAGCTGGGTGTTTTCTCTATAGTTTGCATGTTTACGTCATGGTGTCACATCCTTCCTCCTTGTAAGGATCGCAGAGGCGTAGCGACCCTTCCCGGCGCCCGGGGACAAACTTTTCGATTTGCACCCACCCCCCCCCCCCCCTCAAGATTTTGATTTGCACCCCCCCTCAAACTTTCGATTTGCACCCCCATCAACCTTTCAATTTATTTTTCCAACCCGTTTTGGCGCCCCCTAAGGTCGGCGCCCGGGGACATATGCCCCCCCCCCCCCCCGCCCCCGCCCCCCCCCCCCCTCACTACGCTACTGAAGGATCGTCATTATGTACTTTAAAAAATTATTATTAACTCTAATTAACTATTCACTGAACTGGAAAAATAAACGTTTGTTCTATATATCTTGTTTTGGTGTCACCCCCCCCCCCCCCCCCACCCCAAATCGTGTATAAAATTGTCAGTATTTAGATAAGCCATTGCGTTGACAGTCCAATGATCTAGCTCATACAGTCATACAGTGGTATCTTGGCCTACACAAGTGCCATAACATTCTAGATTTTTGAGATACGAGCCGTCGAGCGAACAATGTGTGGCTTTGAATTACGAGAAACAATGGACTTACGAGGAACCGGATCAGTCATTGCCCCACACCCAGTAGCAAAGTGGCGCCTTTTTGGAAACTTTTTAAACTCAAAGTTTTTAACAATGATATTTGTTAAAAAAATATTTTTGGTCAGCACATCTATGTAAATCACAAGATTTCTTTTCATGCAGCAATTCGGCGCCTTTTTTTTGCTCTTTTCGCTCCCCCTACAACGAAAACCTGGATACGCCTCTGCCCACACCCCTCCTCTCCTATTACCGTTTTTTGTTTTCAGACATTTTTCTCCAGATAGGAAGGGCAATGGCCCTTGTTGAGATGCATTTAAAAAAACAACCATGGAGAAAAAAAAGCAAAATATTCTAAAAAGCTAGGCTTTTTGCAGTTTAATTGGCGACGGATTAGAGTAAAATGCATTTTTAAATACAAGTTTACACCTCCGGATGGGGGATGAGGGAGGGGGGCGACACCAAGACGGAAACTTGTTTATTACAAAGAAAATTATCATTTACCGAGTCGGATAAATTACTGAGATACATTAATGAATTCTATTGATTCCGCTCATTTGACGCCAGAAGGGGGGGGGGGCACTAGACATAAGCCGCATAAAACAATACTAGCTTCTTAGGGAGTGCGTATGTGTGTGTACTGTGTGTGTATGTGGGGGGGTGGGTGTAACACCCAATACGAATTGTCAACATGCTTGGGTGAGTTGGTTTAGTAGATGTGCCTCAGTGCGGTTCTCTCTTGTTTTTGTTTTCTTTTTTTTTTTGCTATGAACTTTTAAGTCACAGAGTAAGTAAAGATAAATCACATACATTAAGCACTTTCACAATACTAAAGAAATATAGTTGGATGTTTTTTTTTTTAATAGTACAATTTATATTAGAGGTGTTCTTTGAAGTTTTCTCGTCAGAATTCTTTTTTACATTACAAAGAACATCAAATACAAGGGATGTTTCAGTGTGATTGGTACTGGAGGAATCAAATAGGTTCATGTTTAGATACTAGCTTGTTGTATGCGGTGGGTTTTATTGTTTAGGCTTAACGCGCCTCTGACGATACTTGTCTTCAATTCTCTTTCTCCTCGTCATTAATGATGACATACACCAACGGGAAAAAATAATCTATCACACATCTAACAGCAGAATGATGCTGCCGGATCAAAGATCGGCCTAAAAATACACACGCAAAAGTCGATGGCCATGGAACCAGAAATGCAATATGGAAGGCCCGTCTTTTGTAGGAGGTGAAGACATTTACATTGGTATATAATATATAGATAGAAGAAATATATAAACAAGGGGGAACAGGCACAGATGTGAAAGAAAGGATATGATATGGCCCTCTAGGGATCTCCACTTGAAAGCTAATATTCGCATAATCAACTCCAATGTGAAGTCTATTTTATTATACGGAGCGAAAGCTTGGAGAACATCCAAACTACCTTAGGGGTAGTGCATTCATTCATCAACAGCTGTCAAAGTTTTGTAAAGGTAGAAATCAGGAAGTGAAGATGGTTCTGGATAGGGCACACTTTACGAAAATCCACAAGGCAAGCGAAGGAAAGACTTTCTAAGAACAACATGGTGAACTAGAGGTCGACACCAATATGTTTAGTTACACCCAGTGGCGTAGCTAAGTTGGGTATCACATGGTGCGACACCTAATAGTGTCACCCACCCCCCCCCCCCCCTTGTAAAAGCTTTAAAGTGTTCACATTTAATACTAACAATATTTATCTATAGTCAGTTGTTAATACTGCTGGATGTGGCATCGTTTTCTCTATAGCTTGCATGCTTATGTCATGGTGTCACCTCTTCCTTTGTTTGAATCATTATTATTTACTTAAAATACTTTTAACTCTAGTTAACCATTCATTAAAATGGCAAGAACATATTTATTCTATATATCTTGCATTTTTTTGTCTTGGTGTCAACCCCCCCTCCCCCCCCCCCACTAAATGGTATCACCCGGTGCGGTCCGCGACGCCTCTGGTTACAACTCAAGTAAATGGCTCACGATAAATGATTATGGAGTTTTTGGTGGCTCATACCCAGCAGGGGTGATGGGCTGTACTGTGTGTAAGAAAGCTCTTTTGCAAAATCTAGCAATTATCATTATACATTCTGTCTGTTGGACTAGCTGTAACATTTAGAGATAATCTTAATTATATATATATATATATATATATATATATATATATATATATATATATATATATATATATATATATATATATTTACCCGGGGACAAACTTTCGATTTGCACCCCCCTCAGACTTTTGATTTGCACCCCCCCTCAAACTTTCGATTTGCACCCCCGCCTCAAACTTTCGATTTGCACCCCCCCCCCCCTCATACTTTATATACCGAGGGGTCTATGGGGGGTTATGACCCCTTAACCCCCCTGCCTACGCCACTGTATATATAGCTTAGAGGCGGGGACACCCCAGTTTACCGCACCGTGGACACCCGACCTTGCGCCACCATTGATAAGCCTGAGGTAATTGTGCCTTCTAACCATCTTATAGATTATAGAGTATAGACTAGTAGAAAAATATAACCAGAGTTTTTTCGGGTATCTCTTCGGGATACACGTCTGAAACACGTCTACCTCATACCCACAATATATACATTAGCCAGTGTACCTCCATTTTAGCATAATTAGCCCCCTCCTCCCGGAAAGCTTCAAGTGCCCTCCCCCAATTCCCCGAAGAAAATGTCTGAAAGAAAACGGGTGACACCATTTAGGGGGGTGACATCAAGGCAAAAAATAGCAAAATATATAGAGAAAAGTGACAATTCCACTTAATTAAGTAATTAATTCAAGTGTTAAAAAGTCTTTTAAGAGCAAATTTGACAAATCCCGACAAGGGTGGAGGGGGGGGGGGGTGCAAATCGAAAGTTTGAGGGGGGTGCTAATCTCAAATCGAAAATTGAAAGTTTGTCCCCGGGCGCCGGGAAGGGTCGCTACGCCTCTGGGAGGTGACACCATTAAGTGCCGCACCGGGTGACACCCGCCCTCGCTACGCCACTGCTGTATTACTTTTAGTAGGGATGCAAGTAATGTGTTTTTTTTGTCTGAACGCGTTTTTTTTAAAATATTATTTCGTGCCACCAATATAAATGTTGCTAGATTATCTACATCTAGATCTAGATTCTAGATCTAGATTCTAGAAATCTAGATCGCGAAACAACTAAAAGGCGTCGACGAAAATAACCTAAATTCTACTTCCGCAAACTCATTGTAATCGCCCGTCGTACTTAATTTACTCACAAACTGATGTGGTCTTGAAGATCTAGAATTAGATCTGTTCTAGATCTGGACTATCTCTAGAACTAGATCTAGATCTATTTTATAGATTTAGATTTTAACGCAACTCACCTCTAGTGTGTAAAAGAATGTTTGAAGGTAAAGATCCAGATATTAAATAATAAAATATAAAATTATTAAAATTAGGCCTACGCTTGGACCCAAAATCAAATGTTGAAAATACTTACTTCTTAGTTTACAGTTTACTGTTTACAGTTTACACTAAGACCGTAACTTTTAATTACTTTTAAATTTCATTTAGCACTATGATGACTAGACTAGATCTGTAGGACTGTCACTGTGCATATCCAGATCTAGATTTTTTTTAAGTAGCCTACTTTTTTATATTAACTCTTTATTATAGGCTAAGTACAAGTTCATTAAGTTTGTGGCTTAATTAATTTTATTTTTATAGGCCTACTTCTTAGTACTAGATCTATCTAACTGTAACTAATCTAGAAACTACAGTCTACTACTAGATCTAGATTCTAGTATTAGTAATACTAGACTTAGAGACTAGACACCAGAATCTAGTAGTTAGTAGTAAAATAAGTTACCAAGTAAAAATATCTAGATCTAGTAAAAGTCTAGGCCTAAGCTCAGTAAGTAAATTGCAGTAGGGTGGGCCTAAATCATCAGCCTATAGTTTAAAATTTAAATTATATGCCTACTTAATTAGTTAGCAGTCAGACTACTCTAACTAATACTTAGGTCCCTATATTCTATATTATAAAATACGAAGTGACTACTCGAAAGAAGATTTTTCTCCCCAACGTCTAGGGTTAGGGATAGGATTAGGGTTGGTGTTAGGGTTCTGCGGTTGTAAACACATGCATGCGCAGTACCATCAAAAACATCGCCACGAAGGCAAGTCGTAGTTTCTCTCCATTGCGCATGCGTATCTTATTCCGGCTAGCATCGGCCTCATAAATATTGGCCTAGATCTAGATCTAAAATTTGTTAGTGAACAGATGAATATCTAATCTATATATATATATATATATATATATATATATATATATATATATATATATATAATTCTCTTCATGGAGACCATAGAAAAACACCACGCAGCTTAACCACCACTTCATCCCCACCTGTCAGGTGAGCTGTGGTTCACCTCAAATGTTTATTATAGTACAGCCAGGTCGGCTATTACTATTAGGGCCAGATAATTTAGCATTAAACCATTTGAAATGAAGGGGAGGTAACAATTTCTGATTGATCTTTTCTTTGTCTGTAAACGGCTGCTTTCACTGGGCGTGGGGGGGGGGGGGGGAAGGGAAGGAGTGCGGGAGGGTGTAGTGTTGAATTCACAAATTATGAATGGCTGATAAGCAGAAAATAAAACAACTAGATGGCGGTGTATACAACATCGCGGGTCAGCTCGTTTATTTTAAAATTCAAAAGAGATCAAGATCTTTTGGAATTTAAATTAGTGTGTCTTTATCAAGATTTTAAATTTTTTAAATTAATGCCGCCTCTTAGAATTTGCAGTACTAGATCTAGTAGGCCTACTATTCTACTTTTACTGTTAACATTAAATGCCCTCCCTCACCTATAATAATAACTTAATTATACTATACTACTATACTTAACAAGTTAATAATCTTCCATTTTGTCCTTCCCTGGGTGTTGACTTTGCAGTCTCCCAAGAGATCCCTGCTGTCTTCAGTTCCTCAGCTAAAATGATTAGACCTACAGGCCTACTGCTAAAGTTTACCATATTTTTGTCTAGGACTATTATTATTATTTATTAGGCTATTACTCATTCACTTAAATTTATATTCGGCCTTTTTTTTTATTGCTAAGCCTATCTTTAATTTGATAGGCCTAGTAACAGGATTAATGGGCATGTAAAAATGTGATGTAAGAGAAGATATCATATTAGGCTGTTAAATTGACAATTTAGGACCAAGTAAATTTTAATACAATGAAAAATAATTGAGTTATCTTTGGCAAGGGGTAGGACCTATGATGCTGTGTTATTCTTGTGTCTGATACTAAAAACAGTGCTTGAACAATGGATTTCACAATATTAAAGTAACAAAGTTGCATAAACTTGCTTTTATTTCAACCATAACACTTCCCTAATGCTAATTTCTAACCCTAAACCAGATATTGCAAATATCAATGACAAGTTTTAGAACCTATTGAGTTAGTTATTTTAAGTCTTATTGAATCACAATTATTAAGAAAAAGGCCCTACTGTAGTTTAGTGACTGTTAGGCTAAGCTAATCTTAAGTGTTGGTATGTCTATAAGTATAAGTGTTGTAGTCTAAGACCAGTGTCATGTAGAAATTCCTTTTGTTAAAATAAAATGTGTGGTCACTTAAGATTTATCAGAGTCTTCAGAGCATCTGTAATACATAGATTATAGAAAAGTTTTTAAAAGTTTAAACTGCTAAACTACTCTAACTTTAATCTTAAACTTTACAGAGTAACTTTATTATATTATTGACTTGTTTGCATTTTTGTAAGAACTTTATTTATAATTGTGATATGTGTGGACAGAAAATTAGGTCATTCATTTAAAAATACATAATTCGTAACAATTTAATTGTATCATTATGATTGTCCATGAGTTTCTCTTCTTCTGAGGAGGTATGCTAGTATCAATGTATACCAACCAGTAAATTTTTATTGAAACTGAAATATGTAAAGATAGAGTAATCTCATTTGAAAACTATTTCACTATATTCTACATAATATATTGATTTACTAAAGCATAATGTTTAAATTGTCCAATTTTACAGTTTGTAGTATCATTTCAAGACTCTCTCATTAGGCCTGGATTACATTTCAGGTAAGAATTTGAAAAAAAAAGTTTTTAAACTGTAAATTAATCACTGCTTTTTAACCTTATCTGATTGTTCCATTCATCAAAAGATGCACACAAATCAGCTTTGTCATTACTGAAGTAGGTGTGTAAAAGTTTGGTTTGAAAGTCTTGCTAAAAATATGATACAAACATTTTTACACATAACATTAACAGGTGCTTGTTGGATGTACGTGAATAGCAATGCAGGTAAAATGCTATTAAAACTCTTTAACCCTTGCACTTATAATTCAGCCTAGTTTCATCACAAGTAATCAGTATAATGTGGGATGCCTGCTTTTTACCAGACTTTTATATTTACATGCTTTGTGCAAACCTTAGCTTCTGCATTAACCTTTACATACTTTTTTTCTAGCGGAGAAAGTTTTAAAAATCTAATTGTCCACCAAATTTTTATATTTTGATTTACTTTTATGTTTTATTTCTGTGTACATACTTTGTTTATCATCATTTTTTATCTTCCCATTTTTGCCATTTGTATAAATTTAATAAATAACTATTCAAGAATATTCAAATATTTTTTCGTCAAATATATATTCTTGAAACAGTAAAGATTCACATGCTTTTGACAGAATCTTTCAATACAATTCAATATGTTTTTACAAGTTTTAATTACATTTCTAAGGCTGCTATCTTATGCAGAATTAAACTATAATTTAAAAACAAGCAATAACGTTTTTCAAACATGCAAACTGAAACTAAATCTTTGTTCAACAAACAGTATAATCCACACTAATCCTTATATTTTTAGTTCAACATATCAAAAGATGTGTTGTTTTTCCTTTTTTGCTTACTTATCATTTTTGCTTTTTTATTTGTTGAACTATTTATGGCTCTCTAGCCTATTTTTAATTAATACCAAAACTCATTGTGATGTTTAATTTGGATCTCACCAGATCAGCACAATCACTTTGGATATAAAATGTATATCTAACTTTATTCACTCGGTCACAAGGGTGTCACTCAATGTAGTAACTGAGGGTGTCGCCCCCCACCCTCTCCAACAATTTTGGCATTTTCAGTCCCCCGCCTCTACTATTTTTTTATTTTAACTGGATAAAACATTGTTTTGACAGTAAGTTTTATGTTTTTCCATCATGGTGTGACACCTCTGTATTCACTATTAAAATTATACTGGTGGTATGAAGTGAGCTCATTATGTTATAGTGTAGGTAACAGATAGCAAGTAATGCTAGGATTTATTTGCCTTCTACTTTTGGTATCTCAGTCTGTCACCTTGCGGAAACAATGATCATATGACAACTCTTTGTTGTAAGCTGAAGTAATAAGCAATTAGCTGTGTTTAACAATTTACGCCACCAACTCTATTGATTATCTGTTGGCTGGCTTGGCAGTAGGGGGTAGAGGGGGCATACAATAGGTTGATCCACCTGATCAGTTGGCTATGTGTTTTTTGTGATGTTGTGTTTAGATAACCACACATGTTTAACACCATGGACTCCATATCCTTTATAAAAAAATCAAGAATAATCCTTATGTTGTAAGCTTTTAAATATATTTTTTTTATGGACTGTTGTGTCCAAATCTTTAAGCAAAAGTCATGTTTTTTTTTTCTGTAGGCCATAGAGCAATAGATTCTATATCCTTTGTTTCTTTACAACACTTCATAGCACTTGATGTTTGCTTCAATTCGCACCGTCACATAGATCTCTATATATTTCATCACAATATATGTATCCACGCAACTTCATCACGCAATTAGTACCATCATATCGATATATATGTCATCACAGTATGTTTACACTTCGCAAGGTTGTCACTCAAGGCTAGTTGTTTGTCACCACCTTTCATATCTGCTACACAGGGGAGACCACTATCAACTGTGTGTAAATAGTTTCAGTTTCATGCTTCACGTAGAGTTTCAGGGGAAAAAACCCATTTGTGTTATGGTTGTCGAACCAGGAAGATTAGGTTGACTGCGGCGGCTACACACGGGGACACACGCTGTGTCACATTGATAAAACACAAAAAACCACCAGCGTCTGATTTATTGTCCACACACGCCGCCACTCTGCGTGTAGTGTGTATCTGACTGTTGCTGGCCGCTGCTGTGTCGTTGATCATGTCTCGGTGAGGGATACGGCCTAATCTTTTATTTAGATGGGGTTTTATCAAAAGGTCAGTCGCTTTTTTTCCCCAACACGATGTTGATCCTGTACTGTGCACGTGACGTTAGTGTGTTGACAAGTGTTGTCTCTTGATGCGAGCGATCGCAGCCTAGGCCTAATCTGTTAACAAAATGTGTTTCATTCTGAGCGCGATGAGCACAACACGCTTATGACCAGTATCTGCTATTTTGGTGTTTAAATATATTTGTTTTGCTTTACCGTATTACGTTTTTCTATTGCAACTAACACACTCCATTTTTTTCCGTGTCTCACTCATTAACTATTGTTAATTTAAGTCCACCAACATGCTCTTAGTAGTTCACTACAAGCGCTAACAGTACACGTCCATGGGCTATTGATTTCTAATAGGACCAGTTGAACAGCATTTTTTTTTCATTTTTTTTTTAAAAGTCTGCTTATCTTTGAGGTCGGGGCCAGTCTAAGTCACTGCACCATTAAAATGTAAAAAGGACTTACTATTACTAAAACTAAAATATACAGATTTCGTTTGATAAACAATTTGGCATTCTTCTGTCAGACCTGCTGGCTTTCTGTAGCCTGTTAACACCTATTACAAAAATAAACCTATTACAAAAATAAAACTATTACAAAAATAAAACTATTACAAAAATAAACCTATTACAAAAATAAAACTATTACAAAAATAAACCTATTACAAAAATAAACCTGGCACGTTTTGGTGACTAAACCTAGGTGGTAAAATTAAATTATATTGCTCATCATTTTTTTTCCTAAGGCCGTACTGGTGTGCTGATTGTGTAGTGGGGGGAAGATTATGATTTGGATATAGTGTTTTGTATTGTGCGCCCTGGGTGGTATTCAACTATATATAGAAACACTGCTTTTGAATGTTATAAAATTCTTAGCAAAAGTTCTGCTTTTCTTTGACTGGTGAGATGAATAACACATTATAAAACTGGCTCCAACTCATTTTTTTTTTAAAAATATGCCATCACTTTTTTAAGGAAGATGTGACAAGAATTTTTTTCACTAAGGTTATGTTATGGGGTCCTACCAATGTTAAACAAAACAGGATATGGTCTGTGGAGTGTTGTAAGACGTTAATTAGGGTTTCGGGTGGTTAAGAAGTCCTAGTTTTGTGTTACATGATATGTGCACAATCCCTTAACTGTAGTGTGCTAATACCACAAGTGCGTCAACTAGTCTAGGCCGAGCTACTGTGTACAATGTGTAATTCTAAAACAGTAATGACGCCTGTTGGCTCGTGCAGATTTGATCAACTCCTGGTAGCAAGAGTTTACCGCCTCCCTGCTCCTTCCTTTCATTATTGGTGATTATCAGATCGATTCGTCGCTCAATGATACTTTACGAGCATTTCTTAAAAGGTATTTAAAGTGCTTTTGAAACAGCTGGATGTGATTAAGCACGATATTTTCTGCTGAATGTTACACTCTAACAAACTTTAATTTTACTCACTGAACCCGTGAACACTGTGTCATACAGTTTAATGCCGTCTGTTGCATTGATGTCCAAGAACGTCTCTATAGTCGTCTCCGTTGCTTAAACTGTTGATTGTGAACTTGCTAATCTTCGATGGAGTGACGTAGGTAGTGGCATACTTTGTTAAATTAACACAAAGTTGTGTGCGGTAGATGTATACTACGATTTAGCGGAATTCCCCCACATATTATGGACGTTAGCAATTGGCATGTAAAAAAGTCTATGGCATTATATTCAACATACTGCTTTTATCATATATAATGTAAAATACTGCCATCAACTGTTATATGCAGCTACTAAGTAAGATATATATCACCGCTTTCATTTCAAGTTACTTGAGTTTATTTTAGGCCTAAGATTTTTTTTAGGTGGGTCATACCAACATAAGCAGGAAGTATCTTTAAAATGGTATAAACTAGTATTGCACTTCTTTTAATACTTTTCTTAGCACCATGGGCTGCCTTACTTTTCGTGAACCGTGACGAAACACGCCATCGACTTTTGCCATTCCAGAGAACAAAATGCTTTTATTTTTAGATTTTTATAACTGTACTGAATGTGGGTGTGTGGATACATGTATTATGTTGGTAGCTGACCCTGTTTCTGCTCCCGGTACTTCACTTTTAGCTAACTGAACAAATAATTACTATGCTTGTAGACATTTTGAATATATTTATTAGATCTATACTTTTAGCTTTTTTGTGTGTCTGTATTGATTATTCTTGTAGCTTACTTAGGTTCTAGATAAAATGTACATACATTATCCCTGCTTTATTTAGCATATTTTTCTGTTAAGTTTGAAAGAGGCATACAATGAAATTGTCGTAGGCTACACTTGCAATAATCGAGTCAGCATCCTTTCCAATAAGGAAGCTAAAATAAAATACTTGTGACATCTTGAGTTATTATAAATAGTTGATTGTCAGATCTGTTTACATCATTTATCAACTAGAAGTAGAAGATAAGTCGTGATGACTGTTTCTATTGAAATAGCTGTAATATCAAGGTACGATCTAGACTTGTTCTAGTTAACATACATTTTGAAAGTATACATTCTTTCCGGCTGCTAGAGATTTTGTTTTTTAAATTGGCCGTGCTTGATTAGTTATTTGGGTCGGCTTAGTCATTCCACCTCTACCATTGAACGTAATGAAAATTATTTAGACTTGTTCTAGTTTACATATACTTTAAAAGTATACATTCTTTCCGGCTGCTAGAGATTTTTTTAAAAAAATTGTCCGTGCTTGATCAGCTATTTGGGTCGGCTTCGTCGTTCTGACGTTCCACCTCTACCATTGTTCATAATGAAAATTATTTATGTCAAGTTCGTCTTATGAGTAATTCTTATAGAAGTGTTAGAATTGAAGCTTAAAATTGATAATATTTCTAATTGCATATGTTGATAAGGTAATATCCATTTTAATTTGCTTTGATTGGCTTCAAATTATTGAAAGCATTTTTTTTCTACTATTGTACTATATACTTACTGGTAAATTTTATTTGACTAATTAAAAATAATTACTTTAAATGTTTTCGATACAGGTGTATACTTAGTTCAATTATGTTTCAAAGTGTCAA